CTTGCCAAGAAAACCCATGTGGTCCATGGGGTCATGAAGAGTCAGACCTGACTGAACAAATTAGGATAGTAGATGAGTAGGTTTAGAATTTTATGGAAACACAGGTCCATTTTCAAAAAAAGGCAAAGAGAAGGTAATAAAACAAAAAACTGCATTCATCTAAATACATAGGATAAAGGGTGTCACGTATTTTGGACTTTTTTTTTTTACATTTTGTCACTATTTTCCCAGTTACTCTGGGTGAACATTCTGTGCAAAGTGCCAGCGATTAAGTAATCTTTCTGGTGAAATTCTCCATCTGTAGAAAAAAGCCATATAAGATGCACTCATCGATTGGCTGATGGTTTTTCGTTCCTTTTTCATTGTCTACAGCTCTCTTCTCTTTGTACTCTAGGCTATTTTAGGAATTAATTTCAAGAATGGCCATTTTAATAGGGGTATGCCTGTTTGGATTGCACCATTTTTGAGAGACAGATTGAAGATGTAGACTGCACTTACAGACAGAAGATCTGGTTCAAAATCCAGCTCTGTTGCTTATAAACCCTGTGACTAAGGCTAAGTCACCTGGCTTCCCTCAATGGCCAGCTTAGTGTCTGTGTAAAATGAAGACTCTGGACTAGTCCAGTCCAGCATTTTCCAGCATTTTACAGTTGTAATATTGTTTTTTCCATTGCCCAGTTTCTCTGATTCTAAAGGGATAAAAATTAAGGACCAGATGCTACTCCTGGTATAAATATCAACACTACTTGCTCAGTGTCCCAGAGTGACCTTCTTAAAGGCTAATGTATCATACAGACTTCCATTACTGTTACATATTCTTGAATTTACAGGCTAGTTCTCAGCTTAACATATTTGTGGGATATTTGTTTTCCTGTCCATTCTAAGACAGAGGGAAGGAAAAGCCTGGTGAAAATATTTCCATTGTATTTTTCAACCTGTTCGGTCAACTATAGATAAAATTGTCAAAAAATCAAAGGGAGTGGAGTACAGTACAGCATTTGAGCCTAGGAAGGCAGTGGTAGATCTGTGTCGTTATCCTTTATTTTAAAAATTACAGAATTTTAGAGATGGATGAGTTTTTGTTGTTATTTGTTTTTGTTTGTTTGCTTAATTGTGTTTGACTCTTCCTAACCCCATTTGGGGTTTTCTTGGCAAAAAATACTGGAGTGGTTTGCCATTTCCTTCTCCAGCTCATTTGACAGATGAGGAAACTGAAGCAAACAGGATTAAACAATTTACCCAGGGTGGTCGGACAGCTAGTAAGCGCCCAAGGCTGAATTTGAACTCAGATCTTCCTGACTTCAGGCCTGGCACTCTATCTTTTGTGCTTCCTAGCTGCCCCATGAGACCTTATAGATCACATATTCCAATATCAGTCAATGAATAAACATTTATTAAGTGCCTACTATGTACCAGGTACTATGTTAAGCACCAGGAACACAAAAAAAGGCAAAAGACAGTCCTGCCCTCAAGGAGCTTACAATCTGATGAGGGAGACAACAAACAAATATATACAAAGCAAGCTATAACAGGATAATAGGAAATAATTGACAGAGGAAAGCACTGGAATTAAGAGGGCATAAGGAATCCTTTCTGTAGAAGGCAGAACTTCAAGGAGGTCAGTAGTTGGAGCAGAGGGAGGAAGGGAGAGAATTCCAGGCATGGGGAACATCTAGAGCAAATACCCAGAGCCAATAGATGGAATATCTTGTTTGTGGAACAGCCAGTAGGGCAATGTCACTAAAGAGTTTGAGTGGGATGTATGAAGGTGTATGAAGACTAGAAAGATAGAAAGGGGCTTTGAATGTCAGAGTATTTGTATTTGATCCTTGGTCCAATATTGGATCCTGGAGCTTATTAAGTATGGGGGTGGCGTGACTGGACTTGTGTTTTAGGAAAATCAGTTTAGTGATGACTGGATGATGAGTGTGGGGAGAGCCTTGAGGCAGGCAGATCCACCAGCAGGCTATTGAGCAGCCATGAGGAGATGAAGGCATACATTAGAGTGGTTACAATGTCAGAGGAGAGAAGGGGGCATAGTCAAGGGATGATGCAAAGTTGAAATCTACAGACTTTGGCAGCACATTGGATATGGGAGTGAGGTGTAGTGAGGAATCTAGAATGACTCCTAGATTTTGAGGTTCAGGGATGGCAGGAGGGTATTGCCCTCCACAGTAAGAGGGAAGGTGGGGAGGGGGAAAGATAGTGAGTTCTGTTTGGACATAATGAGTTTAAGATGTATATGGGACATCTAGTTTGAGATATCAGAAAGATGTGAGATTGGAGGTCCACCAATTATGGCAGGATAGATAGATCTGAGAATCATCAGCATAGAGATGGTAATTTCATCCATGTGAATTGATAATATCACCCAAGTGAAGTAGTATAGAGGAAGAAGAGAAAAGGGTCCTAAGACAGAACCCTGAGGGACACCTACAGTTACAGGGCCTGATCTGGAGGAGGATCCAGCTAAGGAGACTGAGAAGGAGTCGTCAGAGAGGTAAGAGGAAAACCAGGGGAGGGTGGTATTCTGAAAACCATTCTGAAGATGAGGAAACCCAAGCCCAGAGAAATCAAGTGACTGGCCAAGAGCAAAGAGCAATTTAACAACATAACAGAAAGAGAATTAGAACCCCATTCTCTTATACTCTGAGGTATTAGAAAGTATAATCTCAGCTATAAGTTCAGTCTCAGCTCTGTTTCTCACTAAACTGATAGACAAGTTGTTTTGACTTTCTGAACCTCAGTTTCCTCATCTGTTAAATGGAGGACTAAGTAAATCCCCAATAGGTAAGCTTCCTAATTCCTGAACGTAAGAGCTAAAGGATGGTTGATCAATGATATTGAAGCACAATTGCAGTTTTTGCAATGCAGGTTGGTCTAAGTATGAACTAGGTTTGAATCTTGTTACTGACTCACTCTGATGCTGGGGCAAGTCAGTTAATTTCTTAGAACCCAGGGCAACTCCACAACTATAAATTGCAGACCATTCGCATATTTGCATTTGGTGGATTAACTGTACCTAATGTATAACTCATAGTGAGTTCCCTATACGAATAAAATCAGAAGTCTAGGTCCTCCCCCCTCAGGAAAAAAAAATGAATTCAAAGATGATGATGGGAGAGAGGAACCTTTATTTGTAAGGTTGGCTGAGAAGATTAAAATGGAGCCAAAACAACGTGACAGTTTTAAGACAAATGTAAGAACTGGAAGGGACCTTAGAGATGATTAGCTCAAACTCATTTTTATAGATAATGAAAAGTGTAGCCCAAAGTAGAACTAACTGGCTTTGCCCAAGGTCACACAGCTAATTAGTGGCAAAACCAAAACTCAGAGCTCCTGGCTCCTAATCCAATCTGCTTTCTAATATGCCATCCTACCTCAGCCAACAGCTCAAACCATATCCAGACTGTTAATGTAGACCACTACACATCAGATAATCTGAACCAAACTCTAAGCTTCCCTTTACTCAAGGCTTGATCTAGGCAAAATTTATGAAGCAGGTAAAGTTTCTTTTCCTCATGCCACTGAATCCTCCTTCCCTAATGTCTCCTTATCCTCCAACTCCATTTGCAGCAGGCATTTAGTGTTTTCTTATAACATACTGCTCCTGCCAAGAAGAATGTCTGGCAGATTTATTCAGACCCCAAGCTACCTAGAGACCTGATACATTACTCTTCCCAGGGGTATTTGCATCTTGAAAGAGGAAAGGACAAGGGCAATATTTAACCCAGAAGAATGAATTATTATAAGTTTGCAGACAAGTATGGGGGGTAGAGATATATATGAGGAGGCAGCTTCTCCCCCGTCATGCCACACATATATATGGTTGATCTTGTCCATACTACTTAGTGGTTGTTGGCTCATTGGGTTTTGATGGCTTAGAGTGAGTGTAAAGAGCGATTGTTTCTGTTATGGCAAGAAATTCTGAGGGTCTTCCCCTCCCAGACTGATTCTTCTGTGAAGGCAAACTAGACCATCTTTTGCCTCAATTCTTACTCAGCCTTTAACTACTAAATGAATATTGCCTCAGACAAACTGGAACCTGGGAAAGACCTTAGCTGAAAAAGGCCAAGGTCTCCCACTACATCCAGGCCCACTGCCAGTTGTCTTGACCTATGTCTTATTACTGGACTGTGATGACTCTGGGAGAAAAGAGAGAGGCTGATGACTTTGCACAGCCCTGCCTCACTTAAAACCAATTCATTTGCAAGTCAAGACATCATACTCCTAATGTCATTGGTCCTCTTTGAGAAGGAAGGATGAACCATAGGGGTTGTCATTTGGATTATTAAGTCTAAACTTTTTTGTAACCTGGAATTAACCTGGGTCAGAATAAATTTGAAAACTGCCCATTCTTCAAGGTCTAGCTAAACTGACACCTCCTCCATGAAGTCCTTTCTGATTCCCACCCCTTCTCCCAAGAAATCTTGACCTCCTCTGAAATCTCATGTCACCATGTCTCTTCACATTCTACACTGTACCAAAATTATTTGTGCTTATGTCTCATTTCTTCTATTAGACTGTAAGCAAAGTGAGGGTAAGGACTCTGTCTTAGTTAATCTTTTTATTCTTCTGGTACCTTGCTAGATAAACATTAGTTCTGAACTGTTGAATCATGTATAACTTGCTCTCAGAAAGTTGTGCCTAGTATCTCTGAGATTTTCCTTCAAAATTTTTTTTTAAACTAAGATGCAGGTGGTTTTTATGTGGGGGTGGGTAAGATGGCCAGAAGTTTAGAACTATACTTGCAATTTGGATATAATAATGGCACTTACATAAGTGGATACCTTGTGAGAAACTCATAATATTTTCAGATACATTGAACCCTGCCCCACTTCCCCAATCTTGGATGCTGAATGTATTCCAACCCACTTTGGTCTTGGCCACTGGTAGTCAAAGATTTAGGTATGAGATCCGAAGCCTAGCTGAAAGAACCAAACAGGCTGGTTGACTGAACCTCCTCCCAGGAGATCATAGAAAGGAAAATGGATACTCACCAGAGTGGATGGGCTTTCCGTAGCAGGGCTCTGGTGACTTAGGTACATTAACTTAGTTATTAAAGACTGAGGCTACCAAAGACTACAACATATTTGGCACAAACAGCAAGGATTTCTCTATAAGTACTCAAAAGCTGACATTGTGATGTCATCACCCTGGGTGTGGTCCCCGGTGTGTGTGTGTGTGTGTGTGTGTGTGTGTGTGTGTAAGTTCATGGTGGTCGTAGAGTACACGGAGTGATATATCATGCTCTCTGATAGGAGCACTGTGCATCCTGGCTTCATGCCAGCTCAGCTGAATCAAGAGCAAGTTGTGATCTGCTTGAATGTAAAGGCCTTTGAAATTATGATAATGCTAACTACTGTCATCTTTTTCCTTTCCAATGATTTCTTGCTCTCTGCTTAGCCCCACAACTACTGCCTTCTGTTCCATCATGACCTATTTAGAATCTATTCATTTTTAAGTCCAATAATAGATTCATATTTTCTGAAGATTTTTATAAATATCCCTTATTTGACCTTTACATATATTTATTAAATATCATAAATATGTTTACATATCCAGTTTACCACCTCCCATTTATCCACTTTGTGGATTAGCTAGCTATATCTAATTTAAAATTCAGGGATTATTTCCTCATCTGCCTGCATCATAGTAGTCTGTTCTCTTCATAAGTGTGTCACTGGAGCTCAAGCGCATACATGAGGCCTTTCCTAAGTGTCTAGCACATAGTAGGGCCTTAATTATTAACTGATTGGTTAGCTGATTCCTGAGACTCCTAACTACTAGTGTACTCTCTTAAAATATATATTTATTCCAATGCCTCATCATGGCATGAACATGACCTGGTTTCTCAAAGGCTGTGCCCACAGACTACAAATTTGGGCAGGTTCTACCACACTGGAAAGGTATGGTCTTGGGAACAAAATGGATAAATCTATCTTCTGAGGACCAGCTTAGCGAATTACCAGTAGGTTATCTACCCAGTGATGAAACTATTTTGGAAATGGTGAACCACGAAATGGAAAAATTGTAAATGGTCCTCCATCTTGTGCAGCCCCTTTTTATTGTTGCTATGATGACTTGTTGCTCCATTGTTTTCAGTCATGTCTAACTCTTCATGACGCGATTTAGAGTCTTCTTGGCAGAAATACTGGATATGATGAAACTGAGGCAAACAGGGTTTAAGTGACTTGCCCAGCTAGTAAATGTCTTAGGTCAGATTTGAATTCAGGAAGATGAATCTTCCTGACTCCAGGCCTAGCACTCTAACCACTGTACCACACAGCTACCCTGCTATGATGGTAGCATAGTGGCAAGAAATAGGACAGAGGATGCTAAGAATCATGCAGTTTTTCAACTGCCTCTAAACTTTAATTTGACTGTTGATACTCTAATGTGAGATCTTTGTCCAATGACAAATGAATGCATGTGTTGCTGGAGGAGTTAATATAAATCTTGACTTTTTTTTGTTTAAATATAATCAGAAGAATTAAGAATGAAGAAAGTTGCAATGGAAGGACAGCTCACAGATACTTCTTAAAGAGACAAAGAAAAAAATTGATGGAGTAGGAATTATCATAAATACTTGTAAAATGATCCCTACAAAAATAACCGTAGCTTTCGTACCAAAATCAGTTGATATGGACAAAGTGATAGAGAAATCCCATGAAGAACTTCATAAAAATCTTCCATATTAAATCAACACACATTCTAATGACTATGACTTTAGGGCAAAGGCAGGAAAAAGTGAAGAGAGAGAGAAATATATGGGGAAGCTTGTTCAGAAAAAGTAAGTGAGAGAGACCAAAGGAATAGGTCACATAAAAGCCTCATGCCCTTGTATCATGAACAGTTTCTTTAAAAAATAAAGAAAGAAAAAAAAAAAAGAAAGAAAGAATTTGTAGGTGCTGGACATGGCAAGCGCCAAACAACATTACATAGAATGAACTGACTACGTTTAATGACAATAAAATACTTATAGGCACGGGAGTTTTCAGTCAGCTGTATGTATACAGCTAAGCCATCAATCATCAGAGCTAGGATCGGCATTTATAATAAACAAGAAAGAATAGTAATGAAAGATATGGAGTACAAGTAAGAAGGTTTAACAATGAATTATTTAAACAAGCTATTGAAAATTTAACATAGGAAGTAAACAACAGAAATGACATTGAAACCAGTTGTGGTTTCATCCACAAGTTAAACCAATGTAAATTAAGTGCCACAACAAGGAAACCAAAAGAACCCAGAAAACACCTTAGTCAGCAGATATTTGACTGAGGGCTGTCAAAGGCAACAATGGGTTAGAATGTAAACTTATCTGTAAAACCTTATGATGAATGATTATGAGCCATCTCCTAAAGCAGTGAAAGGTAAAACAATCTAAAGCAACTTTGGCAAGATAGTCAACTAAACAAAGTCATCCCAAGGGCATAAAATGAAAGAGGACTACAAACAAAAGAAAAATGAAAAAAAATTTTGAAAAAAATTATTACTAAAAAACCTTTCTTTTTCCATCAAGGATAGAGGAATCACCACACTTGAATCTGAATATCAGTCCCTGAGGTGCCTACAGAAGAATTAGAAATAGTACTACAGAGAACAGTGACAGGAAAAGCAGACAAATTGGATCAAGAATATACATATATAATATATATGCATAGAAGAGATCCATGTGGGAGATGATAAAATTGTCAGGGCATTATGGAACTGATTTTCAAGGTATCCAAAGGAAGGGCGTGTACCAAAGACATGAAATAAAACTCAGACTTTGTGGATCCTTAAAAAAAAAAGTAACCAAGAAAACATTAATGACTACTGACCTATGTGCCTACTCTACCATGTATAAAAAAATATGAGGGTCATCTATACACAAATTCAGAATATCCTCAATGAAGATACTTTATTACGAGGAAACAAATAGGCTTTTTCAAAGAATATTCAACCATAGACTCTATCTCACAGCTTAACTGAAAGATGTAAAGAACATATGATATTGGGGCAGCTAGATGGCTCAGTGGATAGAGCACCAGCCCTGGATTCAGGAGGACCTGAGTTCAAATCCGGCCTCAGACACATAACACTTACTAGCTGTGTGACCCTGGGCAAGTTACTTAACCCCATTGCCTAGCAAAAACAAAACCAAAAAAAGAACATATGATATCATTAAGCTTATTTTTTGTTGATGACAAAAAAGTATTCAACTGGGTAGAGCCTCTACAACATGGGTTCTTTTTATAACAAAATGTCTCCCACCCACATACCGATCATTCAAGATTCCTTTCAAGATGTAACAGTAGAAAGGGTCCTGCTCAATGACATTCTAATAACATCAGGTGAGGAATACAACAGGGAGATATACGCTCCACAAAACTATTTACCACTGTGATGGATGAGATCCAGTATGAAGTTCAGGTGGAGTAGAGATTCCTTATGGATGGCACAGTCCTTTGGATGCCACTGTTTGTGGATGACTGTTGTGTTGACTGCTTCAGGAGTGTGCTGGAACCTATTCAAACTGACTAATGAGAATTGATGGTTAAATTTTCAATGGCAACATTCACACCTCAGAAGTAGGTGAATGCTACAATTCAGGGTTTGATTTGTTGTTTTGCCTAGATCAGAGGTATCAAACATGTGGACTGCAAAACTTCTGATTGTCACCCAAACCAGATTAATTGGAAATCAATTAATTGGAAAATATTTAACAAAACAAATAAAAATGCCATAAGACATAGATAATATTACATTTTAAAACTAAGTCACCATGTAGTTCAGAGGGTTCCTTATGTATGGACTGGTGGTCTCCTTTTGAGTTTGATACCACTGGTCTAGATTTAAGACAGTAATGGAGAAAATGTCAATACTGTAGATTAAGCAATATATAGAATATGCTTTTTTTTGTCGTTGTTTTTTTTGGAGAACCGGTTGTTAAACATTTACCAGTACACTACTGATAAATCCTAAGACATTGCAGAAACTCCTGGAAGAGATCTGTATTAAGATACCTGTAACTTTCACTATGTACAGATCACTGCACTAGATACTGGGAGAGATTTAAAAAATTTAGATAAGACACAGTCCATGGTCCTAGCCTTCAGAGAGCTCACTTGCAGTTTAAAAGGCAGATTGGCCACTAACACAAATATTACATGGTATTATATAATTCTAGCACATTATAAAGTAGCTAAGGCACAATGCTGTGTGATGTCTAAGATGGAAAGATTTTCCATCTTAGGGGATATTGGGGAGAGATCAAACAAAGGGGAGGCAGTACTTAGAGGTGTCAGACATTGAAGCTTAGGGACTTGGTGAACAAGACTTGCGCAGGGAATACCACACCACTCAGTCAATTAATCAACAAGCATTATTAAGCTCCTACCATGTGTCAAGGCAGCAATTTATCCAAGGACAGGCAGATGTGGGGGTCTCATCAGGGGAACAGAGAACACAACAGATTGATAGACAAGGCAGAATTCTACTGTTCAGGGGGTAAAGAAGGGATTGGGTGGGGAGGAGATATCTGGGTACCAGGAGTAATTCAGCAAATGGAATAAAGGTGTGAGGAATGCTGAATTATTAGGTTCCCCCTTAAGTTGCAAACAAAACAAAACAGGAAAGGTGCTGAATGGCTAACTAATTAAGGGGAGAGTGACATTCCTCAGGCCAGTTAAGACAGCAGGGTTCCTGTCTTTACAGCCCAAAGCCCACACCAGTCCAAGCTGGTTGGGGGTCAATGGTCCAGAGCAAGAATCTGCTACTACTCAGTCTCAGTGAACCTCATGCATATGCTAACTAAAGGATCAGGATTTCCACCAATTGTAACTCGGATTGAGGTTTCTCCAATTAGAATATGGAATTGTGAACCTAACCAACTGTGAAACTTTTGATTGTAACTCGGACAAATCCAAGTCTTGTAGGGAGGGGGTAAAGGGACCAGATTAACAGTATAAAGCTCGCTCTCACTTCTGTGCTCAGTGTGCTTATCCCTTGGGAGGGAGTGCATCTTTTTCTCAGGAGAACAGAATAAAGGAATTTCTTCCTTCACTCTAAAGGACCTGTATCCTGCATCTTTAAAAGAGCTGTATCCTGTTATTTCAACTCTCAGCTGGCTTGCAA